TGTGAAGTTTAGCTGTTCTACTTCAGCCTTCCCCAGTGTATTTACTCTGTTTTTAAGCACCATGTAGAGTTAGCATTAACTCCATACCTTCTGTGTGAGGTGTGCACTAGATCTGAGCAAGCTAGCTTGGGAATCTATGTCTCACTTCACTGAACTTTGTGGGCTTGCCCTTTGAGTCCATTTCAGGGTAGGGATTTCAATCTGGGACTCCTTAATCTTAGATGAATGCCCTATTCTGCTTACTATTTTCAGGCTTCTCTATCTCCACCCCTTCCATTCTTGTCATAACATTTTCTGAGACGTTTTGATTTCTCCTGAGGGTGAATGGGAAAATTCTGAAGTCTGAAAAATGGTTAGATGTGAAAAATAATTTCTGCTGAACTCATTACACATCTCACACCTACTCCTCATGTTCTCAAGATAGCTTATTGCATCATGCTCTGCACATTAATTCTTTAGGCATAGATCATTTGGAATTTCCCACTGTTCCTTACTGAAAAATAGAGCTTTCTTTTCTTCACAAGAGAAAGAAAAATTAAATTCTTCAGACGTTCCTCAAATCATCCTTGAAACAGAAGAAGTTTTCTCTCAGCATCCCCAAAGAAAAGTCCATCAGTCATGCTGACAGACAGTTTCACTTACTTTCTTAAAATAATAAAATTATTACAATGATTTTAGTAATGCACACTAAATTGTGTTATCTGAAGTAAAATTACTTATCGTTTCATTTGCCACTAATGAAAAAATCTTATTAAAATATAGCTATTAGATACTTGAAAATGGAATGTGTTTAATTCTTAATTTTCCTCCTCAGCCACCTTCAGACAACTCTGTTCAAAATAAATACAGTGTTTTCTGAGTGTTAATACCAGACACATGAGATCAGCAGAGACTGTCAGCTCAGAAGTGTGTGCTCAGAGCTCCATTCAATGTCCAATTTATACACTCTAGGCACCACAGACACCTATTTTGTTCAGGAACAGAGAGGCATAGGGTTGGTTAGCCAGTGAAGGTTTTTGACTACAGATAGCTGTAGATATAACAGAGAGGCAGAAAATCACAGATGAGTATTCACCATTAAGGAGGCAATCACAATAATTTCTTTTATATATATGTGTGTGGAAGCAGGGAACAAAAACAAAAAGGCTGTAATCTATTTACACTCTTAAGTCTTTCCAAGAGGAAACTATCTCTTTGCATGTATTGCACTTATAGCATTGCTGTTCCTTTTCTCATTTGTTCCTTTTGCATTATCACAATAAACACAGCCATTAATATTGAATACCTGCAGAGCCTTTTCCCCATTAGAAAATTGCCCATGCTGGGATGATCATCTTCAGGGATTCTGGCTGTAAATAAGGACTTGGCTGCTGTTACTCTATAAAGCTGTGCACTACTCTTCTAAACACAGCATTAAATTTCTATCTAAATATGGGTTTTGTTAATAAAAAGAAAGCAACTATAATAGAATTTGTGCTCCTTTAAGAAAACACCATGAGATAGGGCTTTAAAAACACCCTTAAAGATCAAAGTGGCAACAAAATAAGAGAATGAATAATATTTTTCTTCTTGATTTTTTTTTTTTTTTAAAAAAAAAGGAGTTTTGGATATAGAGGCAAGCAGTGCTACCAAATAGCTGTCAGAGCTGAGAGAATAAGCATCTTGTGTGCTCTGCATATAGAGGGATTTTCTCTTATCCCCTATGCCCTGGTTTTATGAAACTGCTTTTTAAAGTGTAGGTGTGCCTGCTCAGGAAAAGCTTTTGAAGAAGCTGTAAGTGTAGCGTGTCCATCATTAATCAGGCTGGAGATCACTGTCACAACCATGGAAAGTGAAATTAATAGTTAGTAGGTGAGAAAACAAGGATTCATTTTTCAAGTCTTCTTAACAGATGAACATATGCTTTTTGATGATACCAGATTTCTTTTTTTTTTTTTTCCGTTTTTCAGATTCTAAAATTAATGTATTTGCTATTTGAAATCTATTATAGAAAGTGACTACCATACTACCATACAGAAAAGTATGAAGTAAATGTATATGATTACAGGTTGTATAAAAGATTGAAAAGATAAGGGCATGAACAGAAAAAAATAAATATTTGGAATAGCTGATAATACTGATCATAAAATATCTATCATCGTTGTACCTTATCAGCTATTAAGAATTGTTTGTTTGCTAAATGTTGATTAGAGCTATACTGCTATTTTCATGATTTAAGAATCATTACTGATTTTCTGGAATAGTAAATTTAATGATTTCTTGCATTGTATTCCTGTTCTTTCTTGAGATATACTAACAGCACTTCTGCTTGGCAGATCATCACCACTAGAGGCTTGGAAACTTGTAAGACCACATTTTAGAAGAAAACAAAACAAAACAAAAAAACAACATATATCTACATATATTTCAGATGAAATTGGAGAGCGCTGATCAAACCATATGAAAATAATCATATAAGAAATCTCTTTAAGATTTCTCTGTTCTACATAAATGTCAAGTCCCCAGGAAACAGCTCTGTAACAAGAATTAACACTGAACAGACTTAGACAGAAAGAAAAGATTCCTCAGGTTAAGTAGCCTGTTTCTGTTTCCACAAAACAAACAAACAAACAAACAAACAAACACCTTCCAAACCTTCCAATTCACAGAGCTTTGTGTAACAGAGGACTATAGTCTCACTTAACTCTACAGACAGTACCTCACACTAAGGAGAGGAACTTGAGGAGCTACACATAACCTTCTGGTCCTCCTGGTCATGTGGTCAATGACCTTCTGGCCATTACCACAGCAACAATAAAAAATAACTTTTACTTTGTCACTCTTTCACAGCAAATATATATATATATATAAATATATATATATATTTTATTATTATTATTATTTTCCTCCACAACTCTAAGTGAACAAACTAGCTTTTTTTCCCTCTTTCTTTGTCCCTGCATTTTTGCAGGGACACAGATGTCTGTTGCTTGATGCTTATCTCCCTGAATTAAGTCTGACATTCCTACTTTTCCACACAGATGATCTAATTATTCCCACACATTACTGAAAGACCTCACAGTTTGCATGCTATATGCTGTGTCTCACTGTGCTCAGACTGGACATCTGCTCTACCTTACTTCATACATTCAACACCAGTTTGCAGTATAGGACAGCTGACTTAGCATAGAAAGTACAGTTGTCATCACCTTTAAACCTTTAACATCAATTTACAGCATTAAAAACACAGATGCAGTTTCCCCTAATATTTATGATCAGGCTGTGTAGATATCTCAAAGTACAATTTCACCCTTTGTAAATTTACAGCTTTTAGTTTGCAACAACTTTGTACAGTAGAATTACAGAAGACACATCATGTTAATATTTTTAAACTCCCAGTCACAGGACATTATAAAACATTAGCTGTTTACAAGAAAAGAGTAGCTCATAAGCTGTAGGATGTCAAATAACCATATTAGGAATGCTATAAGGAAAAACAAACAAACAAACAAAACCATTATCTGTCCTTCTTTTCTTTTAAAATATGAAGCCTTGCAAACATACAATTATGCAAACCCTCATCTCAAGTTAGTCATCATAGTGTTTCACTCTCCAATTCTTTTAATGCTGTGAACCTCCAGTGTCTATGCAGTTGTTTCTAAGGTAACAGATCAGGATGCTTTGTGAAGAAAATTTAAAAAAATAATAAAATATCTTGAATATTCAAGACATCCCCAGTTGCAGAAATGAAAGAAAGACAGTGTCATCTCAATTGAGGGTTCTCAGTATCATTTAGACCCTGGCCTGATTTGCAGACAAGAAAAACATAACCCACCCTAATGCTACAGTGTGAGACTACACTGTAGTGTAGTCTGCATATGCAGTTTTACTGCATATGCAGTTTCAAGCATGCAAAGTGTCAGAATTTTTTTAATCAGAGCCATAATTAAGAAATTATGGAGGCTGTTCTCAACAGAGTCTTATTGCCTCATTGCAGGGTACACACACACAGAATACAGATGAAGACTATGCTTGGTAGGAGTGTGCATTCATTTCAGTAACTCACAGTCACACAGAAATCTTCTTGTGAAACTTGTGATGCACAAGTCAAAAACAAAAACAAAACAAACAAAAAAACACCATGAAACAGCATGTGAAAATAAATGCTTATACTCCTTCCCTAAGGGACCATCTATGCATTGTTTCCATTAAAGAACATAAACCAATAGCTTTCACAGGTGATTAACTGAATTACTAATTTTCAGTGAATGAGATTATTGGGTTTGATGGGGTTTTGTTTGTTTTTCAAATTGGCAATAAGTAGCCTTTTTTTTTTTTCCCCAAAGGCTACTTTTCCTATTACCTGAGCTCAAAAATCATATAAATGAATATAAATATTAATGAATACAATCTGCATAGGGAGAATATTAAGTTTGTAAACAGAGATATCATTTAAGCTTTTAGATAGCTTCTGTTACTATATATATGCATATACATATATCAACAACAACAACAACAAAACCACCACTAAATTATTTGCTTAAAACTGTCTGATATGTTTTTATTGATATATGCATTCCAGCATATGAACAAACATATTAATCATCTATGATAAAATAATCATAAGGTGTTTTTGAAGTGCCCATCATTGTAAGATCTAAAAAAATCAAATTCATAGAAAAAGACTAGGCTTGATAAAATCCTTCAGAGCTGTATTATTTTCCAATTGTGTAAAGGAAAACTGAGACAGAGTGGACTGGTATCTTGGGGATCCGGTAAGTTGTGGTCATTGTGACTAGCTATACCCGTCTTTCTGTCTCTGAATCCTGTGCTCTACTTACTGTGTTACAAATTATTGCACACTATGCATGGATTAAAACTATTCTAGTGATTTACATAGCTTGTTCAAGAACATCCTTTGATGTTACTTATTTATCCTTACTCTGCATGAAGAAAACATTAGCAGTTTGTGGGATTAGTTTCATTTAACAAACTGAAAGGTGGGCATATTAAGGTCTTACGTTCTTGGAAAGATGTGAAGAGCATCTGGAATCGGCTGCTTCGACTGCCTTCATCTGCCCACATGCGGATCACACCGAGACCCGTCCGCAGCATTACATCATTAGCAACAGTGCTGCAAAACTTTGCTTTTAAATCCTCCACAGAGCTGCTTCCATCATAAACAGCAACAAAATTCCTTTTGCATTCATTGGAATTCTGCATTTCATAGTCCAAGAATCGCAAGTATATCTATGATGCAAACAAACAAAAAAGGCAACATGTAGACACATTTGAAAATGGCTAAACAAATATTAAAAAACATTGCTCAGTGTTGTGAGAGAAAGACCACACAACAACATCAAAATAATTTTTCTGGTGCTGGAGATCCAGAATTTTCATTTCTTGGTCATTTTTCTGGATGGGCATTAATTGAGGAAGTGAGCCCAGTTTATTCTTCCTTGTATTTTGCCTTACTCAAAGTAGAATCTAGTGGAAGATCCAGATTTTTCTTTTCTTTCTCCATGAGAAGTGTGTACAACAGTCCTTCAAGCTGAAGGGCAGACAAGCTAGAAATTTCTTCTTTCACTGGCACAATATTGCTCTATTACTTTCCTGACATGGAAAATAATAAGGCAAATAATTGTTGCTCCCTCCTCAGAGTCAATATGTGTCATCTTTGTGATATGTCTCAGCTACACTGCTTCAGGAAGTGAGAAGCTGGGAGCAAAGCAGAACTCAATCATTAATCTTTTTATGTTTCTTCAAGCAATTTGGCTATCATTTCAGCTTTTCTAAACAAAGCCTGTATGGTATATTTCTTCGTAACTTAACAGGGACAAAATCAAGAATATTTGATGGAAACTGCTAGAAACCTAGAAAGTTTCCTAAGGAAATGTCTCTTGCATACCAGTTAACTTATCTTATAAATGTAGTAGATGTCTTGTCCTTTACAAAGAACTCTTTAACCTACCTAAAAGGAAGCATGGGTGAGGAGAAAAAGATATTATTTGATACTCAACTATATATGGACTTTAATAGTCCACACTCATTTTAGTCCACACACTCATTTTAAAAACAATTGCTAAGATGAGCAACATCAAATATTCCAGTAACAGAGAAACTAGTACCATTTTCAGTAGACACACAGTACATATTCAAACTGCTAAGAGCACCCAGGAGACCTCATGAGAATGATACAGAAAAGTGGAGGAGGGCAGAAATAGCATGAAAAGTAAATATACTCAGCATCCAGTTGTATGCATCTTGAAACAATGACCAAAAAAAGGACCCAACTGTATTAGAGATCAGATCTACTTCTTTACAAATGGTCTTGTTAACTTCATGTAGCTCTTTACATACACAGAACAGTTGCTGAAAAATCTTCTCTGGATTTGCATAAAGTACACAAACAGCATACCCTAGCAGCATACAGGGCTCAACACTCCATGTTGTTGATATATTAAAACTCACATGTTTTCAGAATTATGTACTATCCAGAAGTCTGATGCTGCTTAAAAACAGCTCAGATTTTTAAATGAATTTTTAAATTTAATATACTAAATTTCATTTTTCCTGCCTGACCTTTCTCTAGCATGTTATTTCTTACAGCAGATCTTAATTTAGTTCCAACATATTCTCGTCTTCCAAAAGAACTGTAAGAAACATATATTCATTAAATTGTAGTTAAGTAAATCCTACTTTCATACTTCTTCCATCCCCATCCCCCCCCCCTTTTTTTTTAAAATACTATAAATTAAGAAAGCTGCTTCTATTGATCACTACAAAATGGAACATTTAACAGCAATACATAAAAAAATAATCTTCAGATAGAAAAAAACATAGGTGAAGAAATACTTTTTATAGTGTTTATTATCATTATTATTTTATTTACCACTTGTTACAACTCTGCAGTGGAATGAAAAATTATGAGTTCTCTCATCCAGCATTGCTGAAATTTTCTCACAGTATCCACCAATTTTATAAATGTATTGTCTTGAAATGTCTTGCCATTTCCTCTCCTACTGGGGGGCATACAGTTCCATTCCTGTTAATACAAGTCACCTTCTGCCTTGGCAAAGTCATACTTAAGAGCTTGTTTTGAATTCTTAAATCTGTTGAGTACATGTATTGTAGTTCTGAAGTTTCTCTGCACTGGCTGTATCCCTTTGAAAATCTCTCCTTCATCTTCTGCTGTCTCCCTCCCTTCAATAGGTGCTCAGGAATTTGAGACTTTCTCCTTCTTGTGCTCCAAATTCTTGTTCTCGCTGTTCTCTAGCTATTTAGAGAATTATGTCCTATTGATGTCTGATGACTTTAACCCCTCAGGTCATCAAAGTCTTCAGCATGTCTGCTGCTCTTTTCCATTTATACAACATCAGCCACTTCCACAGCCAGCAGGCAGATGGCTGAACTTCACTTCCAGCAGAAAAAGTCCAGTGGGAAATGTTCAGACAAGAATTCTGGACCAGTGAGAGATTCAAATGAAGTCATGCAGAACTGGGATGGGCACTATAAGTGCTTTTATTCTTCACTCCAGTGGTTTGACAGGGCCCTCTTGTTTTAGTGGCTCCTAGTATCCAGCTGGTACAGGCACATCACTGTCCTGCAGGGCAAGATTTTGCAAGAGGGAAGGATATATTCCCATACAGGGAAAGCAGCACCATGCATACTGGCCATCAACTGGCCATAACTGGGGCACTCTGGAGAACAGCTTCCTGTGTCATAGAGAGCAGTCAGTCCTGCTCAAACAAGAGCCTAACAGGCACTGTGAAAACCTGGCTTCTAGCCTCTCCTTTAAAGCAGGTGAAATAGTCCAACTCTGAATAATGTTTCACTTAGAATGCAGAGTTAAGTGTGCATCTTAGTTTTCTTTCTTCCACTTCCTGGTTCTGACAGTGGCAATTCAGTGCTTACCAGCTTTGTCACCAATAATGCAATCACAGAATCATAGGGGTTAGAAGGGAACTCTGGAGATCATTGAGTCCAACCCCTCTACTAAAAGCAGGTTCCCTACAGTAGGTTGAACAGAAAAGCATCCAGGCTGGTCTTGAGTATCTCCAGAGAAAGGAGATGCTTCTCCACAACCTCTCTGGGCAGCCTGTTCCAGTGCTCTGTGACCCTTACTGTAAAGTATTTACGCATGCTTGTGTGGAACTTCCTGTGTTCCAGTTTTTGGCCGTTGCCCCTTGTCCTATCACTGCACACCACTGAAAGCAGCCTGTCCTATCCATTGGCCTCTTGCACTTTAGATATTTATAAACATTGATCAGATCACCTCCTTATCTTCTCTTCACCAGGCTGAACAGACATAGATCTGTCAGTCTTTCTTCATACAGGAGATGCTCCAGGCCATTAATCATCTTTGTGGCCCTCCTCTGGACTCTCTCTACAAGATCCATATCTTTTTGGAACTGGGAAGCCCAGAACTGGATACAGTATTCTAGATTTAGCCTCACCAGGGCAGAGTAGAAAGGGAAGATGATCTCCTTGAACCTGCTGGTGACATTTGTTTAATGCACCCCATTGGGCTTCTTGGCCACAGTGGCACAATTCTGTCTCATGGCCAACCCGTTGTCCACCAGGACCGCTAGGTTCTTCTCTGCAAAGCTGGTCTCCAGCAGGTCAGTCCCTAACTTGTACTGATGCGTGCAATTATTCCTCCCCAGGTGCAAGACTCTACACTTGTTCTTGTTGAACCTCATCAGGTTCTTCTCTGTCCTGCTCTCCAGCCTGTCCAGGTCTCACTGGATGGCAGGGCAGCACAGCCTTCTGGTGTGTCAGCCACTCTTCCCAGTTTTGCATCATAAGCAAACTTTCTGAGGGTAGACTATCCCTTTGTCTAAGTCACTGAATAAAATTCAATTGAATAAAAACCTTCAGCAGCTGATTATTGCATATACGTGTAGGCAATATTGCATACACGACTGTTTTCCGAGTAATGTACATAAGTACATTAATGTACATGTATTGCATACACGACTGTTTTCCGAGTAATGAAGTACACCTGTGTATGTACTCTCAGATGAACGTGTCTTATAGGAAAGGACAGAAGGCTTCTGATACATTATTGTCATGAAAATTTGTTTTTATGCCTTATATGCCTATCATGCATACCATATGTATTATAGACAATATGCATGTTTAATAGACCATACCGGTATAATATAATGTACATAGATCATACTTTATCTTATTCCACTATTCAGGAAAACTCTTAACCTACTCAAGGAAAAAAAAAAAAAAATAAATGGGGCAAGGATCTCTCACTTTTGTTTGCTTGTTCCCTTTTTTTTTTTTATCCTGCAGTCTTATAAATATACACTAATATGTATTTGTGCATATATACATTTAAGCACATATATATGTCTGTACGTTGTGTACCATTTCAGTATTGAGATGCAATTTATAACAGCTTTCATTCTTACAAGAAATGTGAACAAATCCTCACTATTATTATAAAATACCAGCTCTCACAACAATTTCCAGCATTCATCAATTACTCCGGATCTGTTTCAATAGATTGTTCTTATAACAGTACAGCCAAAGTCTTACTTTGGGCTCATCCTTTGACATTCTTTAGTTTCTGGTGGCATGCTAGCCTTTTAAAATAATAAAGTATTTCTGAGAGTAGGCAGTTATAAATGTTGAGAAGGAATAAAGAGAATGATAGCTTAGCATTTCATTTGATTCTTTCAGTGAAGAAGCCAACATTTTAAGCTCTTCTCAAGACTGAATTCTGGTTTTGGTGACACCAGTTAATTTCTGTGTGTGATAAATTCAGATAAGTTCATTATATATAGATAGATTTGATAGGTACTGGAAATGAATAGTTGGCTTAATAATCTACATCCATTCTTCAGAAGAAAGATGACACCTTCTACAATGGCATGAAGTTTCATAAATTAGAGAAAATAAACTTGTGATATTCTGAGTTGAGCTGGAATTTAATTTCCATATTAACTATGTCCAGAACTTTATAGAAAACAAAGAAGAGTTGATCCAAGGCTACCTGAAATACATTTACTTAAGATTATTTAGATTAGATCTATGAATTAAGGCTGGAGTACATTTTTTAAAACTGGGAACTGATAATACAAACTGACACCATAATATTGAATCAGATTTTGTTTTTAAGAACTCTAAGTAATTTAATTGCATCTGCAAACTTCTGCCAATTTTCATGGTCTTATTACAATATATTTTCCATTGTTGCTGTCACTGGGTATAAGACCCACACTGGCAGAGAAAAT